CTGAACTTAGAGTATGTAGCTTGGATAATGGATGTATGGTCAAGCTAAGCAAATCTCTAAAGACGCTATGAATTTTAGACATGCCTCTGTGGAGCTTTCTCTTGCTTCTGGGTACTCTACTTCTCTTGCTTCTGGGTACTCTACCTCCTTCCTTTCTACTTGCTCTTATCACCCTCTCTCATTACCTCCAAAAAGCCAACTGAACACACTTTCACACTTTCTTTTAGAAGAGTATAAATGTGAGTACCACACAGATTGACTATTTGAATAAGACTTGCAAGGTAACTGTTCTTGATCACTTAAGTATAAATGACAGCTTCTGCAAGTTTCTATGATGGTGCTGGAGGTGGTTATAAAGGCCCTAAAGGAAAGGCTTCAACCCTGCTTATAAGAGCCCTAGGTGTATAGGGAAAACCCTTTTCTACTGTGTAATAGCTTCAAGAATCAAACCAGCACTAATTCCATCTTAACTAGAAAGAAAAAATGAAAAAAAAAATGCATCTGCTGTATAACTGTTGCATTTAAACTACAGATCAAGCAAGTTACCCCTCTTGTGGTCGGTGTAAAGCATGTTCCAGTCTGTAAGTAGAGCAACTTTCTGTCATCATGCTGGAAGTTAATAAAAGGAAGACAAGGCTTGGATTTGAGAAGTGTGACTGCAAATTCTTGTGAAGAAGCCGTTCTCGGAATGTCATTGTCTGGTCTGTGTTGCGTCTGAATTTGTACCATCCTATTATGCTCTGCAGACAACAGGAAATTGATTAGTGACAGAAGGTGTTAACAGCACTGGTACAGGTTGCACAAAGAGGATGTGGAGGTGCTCAACACCTGCCTGAAAGCAACATTGTGCCATGTGCTCCAGGTGATCCTGCTGGAGTAGAGAGTTGGGCTAGATGATCTCCAGAGGTCTCCTGCAACCTCAACCATTCTGTGATTGTATGAAAAATCCAGTAACCTGGCAATTCTACCAAGACAACTTATCTCTACCAAAAAAATGTACTGAATTGGCCTGTTAAGTTTGTGCTCAACATTAAACTCTGCAACCTGGGTTCCACTACTTATCTATCCATTTGTCCTTTTCTAGCTTCTGCTTTCCTTCCTTTGAGAAACTTTCCTGCAAAGAGCATGACATGTTTTAGGTGTTGCACAGCCATTTGACTAAGCTAAAGCATAATCCCTCAGCTGGAAGTGTACCTCAAATGATGCTTGCTTAAAAGACACTCAAGCTTCTTTGAGGCCTTTAAATGGCTCACTTGAAAAATGAATAGGAAAAATAAAGTTGTTGTATTGGCATATTCTTGTCTACAGTTATGCTAAATGGATACTGATCCTCAGAGAGGGAGGTAAGCGGGACCAGCAATGTGAAGGATTATATACAATAAATTTTATACATCATAGATGAGAAGAGATTGACATCCCCCATCCCCCTTTTAAAATAATAATAATAATAATAAAAAGAGCCAGTCTCTTGGTGTGGGTTAGGTTTGTCAATGAAATACCTTTTTGCAGCCTGATAATATTTTCTTCAGGGCGGGTTCATTCAGTTCTCCTGCAGAATTATAAAAGCTACAAGAAAATTAGAACAATGATAGGGAGGAAAGCTATTCTAGCAAATAATTATCCCCACTGGTCTAGCAATTATCCTCTTTTAAGCTTACCAGAGGAAAAATAAAAGTTATTTAAAATGTGCTGATACCACCTTGGTGGTGTGATACTGCAGTTAATGTCATTAGTGACTGCTTGCTGAAATAACTATGTTGGTGGACTTGAACATACCACATGCTATTCCACCATCCATGTTACTGGAACGCAATGGTAAAATCTTATACTGGCCAACCTTGAAGCTCTAGGATGACTCTCTCTTTTTTGTGTGTTTTGTTTTTTTATTTTGTGAGAGTGGGCAGTCAGGCTGTAGGCTGCTGCCTTTCTTTTTTCCAGAAGGTGGACATGGAGTTCTGAAGTTTATATGGTTTCACAGCTCAACAGAAGTGTGGCATACCATATCCATTTCTATATGCAAAGACAAGCACATATAAAAGGCATGCAACTTCAAAACAGGAGTGTGACCAGCTGTTTTGCACTTGTAATTTCAAGAGGCTGAGGTACATTCATTGTTCCAGCTGCATTATTTTCTCATTAGGAGTTTAATTCTTAAGAGCTAAAATTAAGGTTAACACATCTTTGTTGTTTCCATAAGATCCTCACCTGAACAGCTGGTAGCATGGAATGTGCTTCTGTATATCTGAAAAGAGAAACCAGTATTGCAGTGGGTCCATCTGTTCAAGACACATTTTCCTGTAGACTATCATTATAATTTAAATCTGTGAGGGCCAGGGAAGAGTTGTACAGTGTCATTTCTTAAAATGGAATGTACTGACAATTCCATAAACAGGGTTAAGAAATATTCTTTTTACAAGTCTGTAATACTTGTCTTTAAAAAGTAAAGTGAAACTACCAATGTAAAAAGTGATTGTTTCTTTATGGATATTTTTTTCTGTTTTAAGTGGAAAATTTGAATTTGGCAGTGTTTTTCCCTTATGTCTCATACTAGAGTAGCAATATGAAAACTAAGAACTCCTTCAGTCTTCAGCACAGCGTGGTGGTTAGGAGGATAGGTGAGGCTGGAGAAGTCCTCAAGAGTAAATGATCAAGAATAAGAGATGGGGGAGGAAAGCTGATCTGACAGCATTCAGACTCCTTTCCTTTGCCCCGAGTCTGCACTACTTTCATTTTCAGAAATGAATTAAAAACAACTATGAAACAACTAATTCTGTGGATGAGATTCTCATGGTGAGACTCTGTAAAACTTTAGATAAACTTCGTAAGAAAGTCCCCAAATTTCTGATTCAGATCTGCAGTGAGACTCAGTGTAAAAAAGGCATCTTCCTTAATCGTCTCAAACTGGAAACGGGGGCAAATTCTTCATTCTTTTCAGAAAGGTGAAAAAGAAAGCATCTTTTTTTTTTTGGATAAATGTATTGTAAAGGAATCAATCTCTGTGTGTGCACATCTTTCTATTTTAGGGAGAGTGTAAAATATATCTCTACTCCTATCCTATAGAAAGTATAAAGGAAAATACCTCTGGCATCTGCTCAACAATGACATACATAAGTGGTAGTTTTTGGCATTGGCATTCTTAACCTTATGTAACAAGTATATGTTAAAATTCTAATCACTGAAATGTTAGGCTTGTCCAGGACAGTTCGAGTAACATGCCTAAGAAAAAGAGTATCTAAGACAAAAAATATGTTTAATGTAATTGTTTGGAAGAGCCATTCAAGAGACTAAGAGATGGTACTTCCATTAAATTATTAGATATGTCTACATTAAATGTTATATTTTCCCAGGTGTTAGAAAATAATTTTTGCAGTTTTTGTATACCAATGTAGACCTCCAGATCTAGTATCATACTTTCAGGAAGATTTTTGCTGCCCTTGTTAAAAACCATAAGCATATGTGTGTATATATATAATTTTCTGAAACTAAGCACAGTATTAGAAAAGCGGACTAACCAATTGTATAAACAACTTCAACATCATCCATTTGTGAGTCAGTAATGCTGTTCTTGGCTTCGCCTTTCACATCTCCAAGGAGGAAACCTTCCTGTACAAGCAGAAGGTAAGATTTTTTTTTTTTTTTTTTTACAACAGTTTCTCTATGGTTAATACTAACAGGGTAAACTATGGCCTGGAGATGGGGGCTCTCAGTTACCTTTTTAAACGGAGAAGGTTATAATTTTGTTTTAATGCAGGTATTTAAGAGAAATTAATTTAGATTCACCCACAGCTGTTTTCCCATGCTTCTGTTTTATTATTCAGAACTAAACAGTTTGGGACTTTTGGGGAAGCAATACTGCTAGTTTGGCACCAGGCATTTTGCCCCTGACTTTTAGTACCTCTAAAAGCAATAATTTTCTGATCACACTTGTCACTGTATGCAACCTAAACTGAAACATGCTCTAAGATAGTATAAGAAATAAAATGCAGAGCATGTGGATGAGGCAAAGTTGTGCCTGATTCTTGCTCCTGAAGATGAAGGTTATCTACAGACAAGTGCCCACGGGTGAGATAGCACGAGGAACTTTGCTGCGGCTACTGCTCCCTTTCAAGCTACGCGGGTGCCTTTCAGGGCTGCAGGGCCCAAAGGGGTATGGCAGGACGGCAGCCCCAAACGCCTGCACTCTCCGAGAAAGGCGACAGCCTCTCGTTCCCCCGGGAAGAGCCCGGTTTTTGTCACGGAAAGCCGGGAGCCGCTGGGGGGAGGCGCGGCGGGGGCGGGGGGGCCCGGCC